GCGGTAAAGTGCATTTGTTCCATAACTCGTAATAACCATACTCGTTGTAGACGTATATTTTAACATACAATCATATGAGCTTGTGCCGAGACCTAACATTTTGCTCGTTGTAAGCAGTATCTCGTTCTAAGCGATGCTCATTATAGAGATTTCTACTGTATTTATGGATAATACTGTTGGAGCAAGACTGTCCAGCAARGTTGGCAACTCTGTTGCACGGTGCCGGACTGTGTCGTCTAACAGTTGCCGGCCCGCGTARATTTGTTGTTCTTGCCTCGCCGTTTGTTGGTGTTCGATCTGCGAACTCGACAACACATGATATTAAAAAGGCGCTGACCATTGTCACCATCGTTTGCTTTCCGTCGTATTTTGCRTGTGTGTTTTRTTGTTGTATACGTCGACGTGCGTTCCGTTATCGTGTWCATTGCCGTTGGCTGTGAAACGTGTGTCGTGTCCGGCAAATCGGAGTTCTTTTCGTTCAATTTTATTCGCGAGTGCACGTGCACACTGTGAGATAATTTTCACGTGTTTCGTTTGCTGAACCGTGTATGCGAGGGTCAATGTTGTACACCGCCATTCGCGCCACCGTTGTAATACTGGTCTCCATCAATTAGCATTACACTTTACGTCCTTTCAACCACAGATCGGGTGGTTGTCTATGCAGTTGGTATCGTCCGTTTGACTGGATTGAGCAGTTCTGCGACTTATTGGACATTTGGAGAGCACGTGTGTGGAAGGTATTTTGTGAAGCCTTGACAGACGTCRGTGCTCCGTTTTCGGGTTATGTCAAAAGGGACAAATGAAGGTGACCCGACGATACAGGTTTTTGTTATCAATTTTAAACTGTGTAATTAAGTATTAAATTTTGTTTATCAGTACATTATATAATAATTATGATGCGAAAGTTTAGCATCTTTCTGTATATATAATATGTTAGAATTATTTAACATAGTAATTCTTTATGCGCGCAATGATAATATTGTATTAGGTCTTGACTATGTTATTGTATCATTTATTGTAAATTTATATTATATTGTTTTCTATTGATACGTGGTTCGATTAATACATTGCCGTTTTTATTACTCATTCTTATTGTTGTTAATTATTATGCAATAATTAAACTTCAATTAATTAGTTTGGTAATTGACAGGTTTGTTTCGATTCCTTTCCTTAACACAGAAACCAGTTGTGTAAATTAAAAGATTTTATTTACAGAGTAATTCACCAACCGCTAGACAGGAGTGCTTATTCGACATTATTTGGTAGCAGAGCGTGGTTACAACTGTTAKCTGTGTTAAAGTATTTATTGTTTTTTTGATACATCACACTAGTTGAAAAGTAAATTAGGGTGAATATTCTACATATTATTTAAATATTTAATTTAAGGGTTCACAATAGATGTGTTGTTGGTATATATTTGCAGGTATCATTTTTAATTTATATTAGTTGAACCGAATGCAAGGTGTTTAACGTTTATGCTAAACTAGTAGTTTGGACTTCCTGGTTACCCTGTTGGTGCTTGTGTTACTGAAAATATTATTCTATTTTTTTTTTTTTGTGTATATTACCATATTTGCCTTATTTTTTGGTAATAATGCCTAGTCAGGTTGTTGACATTGCTAGAGCTAAGCGCTCCAGGACACTCTCTCAAGTAAAACGTGATAATGCGGCGACCAATATAAAAAGGGTTTTTGAATCGTCAAAACGGGCGCTTGAGTCTTCGTGTGAGCTTCCTAAGTTTCTCAGTCTTGCCCGTGACATTGACAATTTATGGTCACAATTCAATATTGAGAATGATGCGTAATTGAATGCCTGCATTGATTAGGATTTAATTTCAGAGTTTGATGTTGATTGTGAACCTGATGTGAGGGAAATGGTTGCGTCGATTCGATCGGTAGTTGATCAAAACAAGATTAATACTGGTGTAGCTTCGAAACTTGACATGTTARTTATTGCTGGTGCAAACATGCATATGTCTAGTTCTGTACCTAACGAAGAGCACCGTTTATCGACTCCTCCGACTTCATCTTTTGATTCTCGRGGTAGCACTTCAYGKCCAGCTGATACTCGATGTATGAGATTACTTAAAATACTTCTGCCTTCTTTCGACARTACAATTCACAWGTGGCCAGTATTTAGAGACAGTTTTTCTGTTTTGGTAGGTCAAAATTCTAGTCTGTCGGATATTGAAAATTTTTATTATTTGTTAAGTTGCTTACAACCTGGAGCAACGGATGTTATCATGGGTATTACTGTATCAGGTGAAACATACTCGTTAGCTTGGTCGACTTTGGTACAGCGATTTGACAAGCCTCGCCAGCTATCCAGTTCTCTTGTTGAAAAGTTATTGAATGCACCTGTGTGTGACAAGGAGACTTTAGCTTCGTTAACATCTTTTCTCAACATCTTTGATGAGACCAGTGCTAGCCTTTCGGCGTTAAACATTCCTGACCTGTCATCGTATATACTATTTACTTTGGCTTCCAGATGTCTTCCGTTATATTGTCAAGGTTGGGCAGTATCTTCGATACAAGTATCGTAAATACGTATCTTAGATACAATTGTATCATGTATCTCGATACAATTATATGAAGTATCRAGTATTTTGTATCGCAATACAATTATATGAAGTATCGAGTATCTTGTATCGCGATACTTTTTTAGTCAATGTATCTATTATTTCATAAAATAATTTATGATGCGATACAAGATACAATACAATTCTGATTTTATTATTAAAATAAGAAGAAATAAGAAGTAATAATAATCATAATAATTAATGATCTAGAAATTAATATTTTTATTTAATATTGTAGGTTGTTAGAAATAAGTTTTCAACACAGTACCGATAAATCATAAAATATAGTTATGTGTGTGCCGTGTGGTGTATATTGTATATAATATATATATATATATATATATTACATATATACACTGTGACACACGCACATTGAATTGGACTTTACGTCTGTACCTTATTAGGTATCCATAATTTTGTATAATGGTGTACCCAATAATTACAACGTTATAGTGTAGGTACCTTTCACGATAAAGTAGCTAATGAACACGGTTGATTTGTTTTATTTTGTTTTATTACTAATTTATAATTATAACTGAATAAGTGTCAGTTTTTTTATTATTTTATTTGTCATTCTAATTACTTAATGAAGTGCCCATCCCTATAACTTTTAAAAATCCATTGACTAATTTTATTAAAATGTATCGAGTATCTAGTATCGCGATATTCCAAAGCCAAGTATCGAGTATCTAGTATTGCGATACTCCAAAGCAAAGTATCTTATATCTAGTATCTCAATACTCCTTTTTGAGTATCTTGCCCAACCTTGTATATTGTAGAAAACTTTTTGAAGCGGAAAATAACGTTGAATATCCTACGATTTCTCAACTGATGGCATTTGTTAAGACTCGTGTTCAGGTCCTTGAAAATGTAGAAACAATTCGCGGTTGCGTTTCAAAAGCTACGATTACGCCTAAACTTGTGGGTCYCCGTGGTAACAAAGAGAAGCCTCCTCGTGTTTCCTTAGTCGGAGTTGAGGTCTCGCAATCATATGTTTCTATTAAGTGCCAGCATTGTAAGGGGAACCATGTTATTGAAAAATGTTTTAAGTTCAAACGATTGGCTGTTAAGGACCGGCGTGATGTCACTCGTAAGCTTCGTTTGTGTTTCATGTGCTTTTCGGACAAGCATTTAGTTCCACAATGTACATCATCAAAGTCTTGTTCTAAATGCAACATCAAACATCATGTTTTGTTACATTTCGAGTCCGCATCTATAGATAGTGTTGAAGATAGCAACCCTGCTCAAGAGCCAATTATCTCTATTACGTCATTAAATAGTGTGGTGACCTTACATGATGTCATGTTAGGTACAGCCTTGGTACATATTCGTGACAATTCTGGTTCGATGCAGGTTATGCGTACATTAATTGACTGGGTTCCCAGATCACAGCATTAACTTCAAAGTGTAGCGATCGTCTAGGTTTGAAAGTTGAAAGGTGGACCGCGAATGTAACAGGTTTGGCCGGTGTTGAAGTACCAAAGGTTGTTGGTCAGGTCAAATGTACTATGACCCCTCGTTATGCTGATTCACCGCAATTACAAACGACAGCATGGGTTTTAGATCATATCACAAATTCTATGCCTACTCGACCATTGCCAATTGCCMTTAAAGAGCATTATTCTCATCTTGCTATGGCTGACCCAAATTTCGATAAACCCGGCCCTATTGATATGTTGTTTGGTGCTGATTTGTACCCTGAAGTTACGGAGAACGGTAAGGTAATCGTGAAAAAGGATTKTCCAGCTGCCTTTAACACGATATTTGGATGGATAATTGTCGGTTCCGTTCCAGTTGTTGGTCAGTGCAAACCCCATTGTGGATTAGTGTCATTATCAGTGTCTTTGAAAGACACCTTACAACGATTTTGGGAGGTGGAGGAACCMGGACCTGCCCCTATTGAGTTTTCTGAGCAAGGGCAATGTGAACTATTGTTTTGCAGTCAAATGTCACGGCTTGATGATGGCCGTTTTTCTGTKCCGTYGCCTTTTCACGGGCYTGGGCTGTCCAACGCATTTGAAGGTTCACGGCAGGTGGCCATGAAAAGGTTCTTAAATCTAGAACGTAAGCTTCAAACCAATCAACCACTTTACGATTCATATCGACGTTTCATGCAAGAGTATTTAGAGTTAGGTCACATGTCCCTCGCCTCACGCCCAGGTTTATATGACATTCCTCGTCATGCTGTCCTGAAAGACCCTACTGATGTGTCGAAGGTTCGGGTGGTATTTGACGCCTCTGCATCCTGCTATTCCGGGGCATCTCTAAATGATTGCTGATTCACAGGTGCTAAGCTTCAGTTKAATATTGTTGACATTTACTTAGATTCCGTAGTTTTCAATATGTCTTWCACAACTGACGTATGCAAAATGTATCGTCAAATTTTAATAAATCCTGAACATAGACCTTACCSGCACATTCTTTGGCGGTCGTCAYCCATCGATKAGGTCCGTGATTATGAGTTGAATACTGTTACATATGGAACTAACTGCCCGCCTTTCCTTGCACTCAGAACAATTCAATTTATTTACGAACATGATTGCGATGCAGAGGTTGCGGTGAAGGAGGCGTTGCAGTTACAAACATATGTTTATGATATTTTCATGGGTACAGGTTCTGTTGACGAACTGATGCATTTTAAATCCTCATTAATTAACATATTAAAACGGTCGTGGTTTCAGTTAAAGAAATGGCTTAGCAATTCAGAAATAGTACTAGACTRCATTCCTTGRAAAACCGTTTGTTGGAKTCAATTGCAATTAACGTGATTTATGATGGCATCTAAAGGTGTTAGGTCTCCAATGRAGACCTAATGACGATTGTTTCAGTTATACCATCAAGCTGGAAGATAAGGCTGTTCCTACAAAAAGACGTGTGTTATCCGTTATCGCCTAGTTGTTTGACCCACTTGGATTTCTTAGTCCGATGGTTTTTTACGCTAAAACCTTGATGCAACRTATATCAAAGATCGCTTGGGACGATCCATTGCCTAGTGATATTGAGGTAGAATGGAGACAATTTCTAGAGGAATTATCTAGGATTTCTGTTATTGGCATCCCGTGATTTTATTTTACGTTTCCGACATTTTCTTGTCAGTTATGCGGTTTTTGTGATGCATCTAAGCGTGGATATGCCGCGGTAGTAAATTTACGGATTATAACAGTCTCTAATGATGTGAAGGTTATTTTATTAGGTACTAAGACTAAGTTGGCACCCATTAAGAAGTTATCAATCCCACGGCTGGAATTATGTGCAGCCTTACTACTTTCCCGGTGGATGCACAGGATACTTTGCGTACTTAGCAAGAGGTTGTCTAGTGATGGTGTTTATGGTTGGTCTGACTCTTCTGTRGCCCTGTCATGGATCATTAACACCGAATTGCAATATAAGGTTTTTGTTTCGAATAGAGTTCCCCAAATACAAAGTATGATTCCCAGCTGCCAGTGGAGGCACGTTAACACTTCTTTGAATCCCGCTGACTGTGCGTCTCGGGGCTTGTCTCCGGTTGCTCTGATTAACATGTCTCTTTATTGGCAAGGTCCAGAATTTTGTCACGACCGATTTCAGATAGGAGTACGGATAATTTTACTTTGTCTCCCAATGAAATCCCTGAGGTCAAACTTTTTGCCTTGTCTATACAATCGTCGGCACCTACTGTCGAATGGATTAGTAGATTTTTGTCGTATAACCAATTGCTCGTTGTCATTGCATGGGTTCGACRATTTATAGGTCGTTGTCGTAAAMAAACATTCTTAACTCCTTACCCCAGTAGGTTAGAACTTGATGAAGCATTWAACGTTGTTGTAAAAGCATCTCAACGYGATTTTGTGGGACAACTAAGACATAAATTAATTTTATCTCGACCTATTTCAAAACCATGGTCACAGCTTCGTCCTTTCTTAAATGAACATGGTGTGTTAAGAGTAGGTGGCCGTTTGTCACATGCTCATATCTCAGAAGAACAAAAGCACCCAATATTACTGTCCAGACTTTCCCATTTGTTAGTGTTACTCGTTCGTCACTGACATAAACTGTTATGCCATGCCGGCCCGCGCGTAATCACGATTTTAGTCTCGYGACAATTTTGGATAGTAGCTATTCGTCGGTTAATCCGTCAGGAGACCTTAAAGTGTGTTGTGTGTGTCCGTTTTTCGGCCCGAAACCCCCAACYGTTGATGGCCAATTTACCGCCCTCCCGTGTACAACAATGTGGTGTTTTTTCTAAAGTCGGTATTGACTATGCTGGTCCGTTGCTTTTGCGAGAACACCGCCTTAGAAAGGCACGTCAATATAAAGTTTACATCGCGGTTTTCGTATGTATGACTGTCAAATGCGTTCACCTGGAGCCGGTTCTTGATTTGACAACTGATTCGTTTCTTGCTGCTTTCGATCGGTTCGTTGCAAGGAGAGGACTGCGGAACTAATTTTGTGGGTGCTGCACGTCAGCACGTCAACTGCGTGCTTTGGTCAATCATGGTGATACTAAACCACGTCTCATCAAAGCCTTTGAGTGTAATTGGCATTTTAATCCTCCCAGTGCTCCGCACTTCGGAGGCATCTGGTAGGCTGCTGTCAAATCTGCGAAGTCTTAATTTGTCCGTTCAATTGACACGCAAGTCACAACTTTAGAAGAGTTTACTACCTTCCTGKCCTGCGTCGAATCCGTATTGAACTCACGCCCATTGACTCCACTATCCACTGGCCCGTCTGATTTGGAATGCCTTACACCAGGGCATTTTTTGATTGGCCAACCACTTTGTGCTGTTCCTGAGAGAGATTTGGTTGATGTTCCTCAGAATAGGTTGTCTCGCTGGRAACTCTTGCGCCAGTGCTCTCAAACCTTTTGGCAACATTGGTCAAACGAGTATCTTAATCTCTTACAATCCCGAAGCAAATGGTCCACTGATCCGTAAAGCAGCTCTTTGTGGATGACATGGTCGTCGTTAAAGACAATAGTGCTCCTCCATTAGGGCAAAACTAGGACGTGTGGTAGAAGTGTTGCCAGGTTCAGACGGTGTAGTTCGGGTAGCTCGGGTTATTACTCAAGGGGGAGAATTGGTTCACCCTGTTGTGAAGTTGGTACCGTTACTCACTTACAACGACACATCTACATATATAAACTAAAGTTACATTTTTCATATGTCCTGTCGATTTTATATATATACTTTCATTTTTTTATTTTTTA